GATGATGATGATGTTTATGATGTTTATGAAAAACTATGAAACATGAAATATGAAATATAAAATATAAAATATAAACTTGGTTGAATTATAATAGTTTCTATAATGTCGTTGAATTGAATGATGAAGAATGAAACTGTTTGTTAGCAATAAAAAACCAAGCAATTATATTTAGAATAGGATTAGAAGGAATAAGAATCAGTTATGTTAGGTATAGAATAGAACTATCTTGATAGTAAAATAGAAAATTTTACTAGGATTTATTTTCGTTTACACGTCTAAAAATAAAAAAAAAAAATCACTTTAGATCTCTGAGTAGAAACAAAGTTGAATCACTTGTAATAAAAGTAAACTAGCAGTGATAAGGTAATAAGTTGGTTGTATAAATTTTGTTGAAAATGGAAAATGGCAAGGTAAACAAAACAGGCTTGAAACAAAAAATGTTGACGAAATTTTTTTTCAAAGTATTGTATTCTTATAAATAAACTAACTATGTTGTTTTTTTGTGTCGTTTCAAGGTTCAATTTTGCTATAAAATTTAAATTAATATATGTAAAAATATAAAAGAATACGAGTAAATTGAAACTTGTTTGACTCGAACAAGTCGAATACTCGTCAAGATATTTAAGTTTTACTTTTTCATGTGTGCTGTTACAGTTACAAGTCTAAGTCTAAGTCTAAGTCTAAGTCTAAGTCTAAGTCTAAGTCTAAGTCTAAGTAGTAAGTAGTAAGTAGTAAAGTAAATGTTGAAAACGATAGAACAAAGTAGTAACAAAACAGTTGATGAAAAATTGATTTTATTGTTTTCTTTTATTATAAATATATTAAATTAAACTGTTTTTAAAGGCGTTTCTTGCTTTAATCTCGTAGGAAAACTTTTTATTAATTTATATAAAAATAGAAAAGAATACAAGTAAACTGATGCTTTTTTCATTCGATTTAGTCGAGTTTTCGTCGACTTATTCAGCTTTCAACTTGTTTGGTTGATCGAGAGAGCAGTCAGTGGTTTGAACGGAAATGACTTTGAGTGATGACTTCTTCTATAGTGTTATATATGGCAAGGCATTGTTTATAATATTACAAGAGGGATACCACGCTACACGTTGTTACTCAGTAATTGAAAAGAAGGAGCAACACTTGGGCGTCATAATTTATTCGAACGGATTCTAACGTAGTTTTGTATTACGACTTTCATACTACTGTGCTTTTCGTTATGGTTGTAAGCCCGTCGTTGAACAAATTTGCTATTTTAGTTTAGTGGGTGCAACCGCAGAGTATGTTACTATATTATTACGAAGCACAGCTGTTTTGGTAAAACGGTTTTAGCCGCTGCACTATATTTGTAAAAACGCTGTCGAACGATTGTGCTTTATTTTGGGTAGTATATTACACCGCACTACTCGTTACTAATGTATAAGGAAATCGAATTGTTTGGGTTAAAATCATCATAATAAATAAACAAACATTTAAAAAAACTTGTCGAAAATACAAAAATAATAAAAAAAAAATTAAATTCAAGTAAAACAATATAAAACTATGGAAAGCGGTAAAATAAAACAAAACAATTAGAAATAAGTAGAAAATAGAGAAAAATTGTAAAGAAAATCACGAAACTGTAGAGAATCAAAAGTTCTTACTTCTTGCTAGTAAACGTTTGCACTATTGTTGCAAGGTGATTTTTATAACACTGAGATATTCTTGTAAAAATTATTAGTTTGAATAAAAAAAAAACTGGCTGAATGAATAGAGTGATGTTTTGTATAACTATTGAATTGTTGCAACCGACGTATTTTCAGGCACTGTCACTTTTCGTAAACAAATATTTCTTTTCTTAAAACATTTCATCGTTTTTTTTTTATAGAAACTCAAATAAATAAAAATAAAAGCTAACTACATGGCATGATAGAGAACATAAAATGACAAGACAATTTATTTATCAGCATGCGTCAGTCAAAAAAAGATACATCGTCAGCTCTAATAGCTAAATAGATTTAAAAAAGTAAGTAAATGTATAAAAGAAATGAAACGAAAGAACTAGTATAAATGAAATACAATGACTCAAAAGTTTCACCAGTTTCAAAATTAATTTGTAAATAGATATGATGTTTTCATCACGCAAGCTCTCGTAAACATTTTGATAAATATTTATTCGTAACCCAAGTATTCATTAACTACACAGCATTACAATAAATAAAAAAACCGCCGAGAAAAAAACGAGAAATTACAGATATCTGTGTGTCATATGCAGCAGTACAATGCAACTTTCGGGTAAGCATTACATCTAAGTTAGTTGGGTAATGACGGATAGATTCGTTTTTGTTTTGTTTTGTTTTGTGAGAGGGAGGGGGAGGGGGAGAGTTGTATAGGGAGAGATGAGAGGTAGAGGTAGAAGGGGAAGTAAGAGTAGAACCGGTTAACCCGTTAGCCCGTTAACGCTTGTAACACTAACACTAACACTAACACTTTAACCCGTTAGCCCATTAGCCCGTTAGCCGTTAACCCCGATAACACTTTTCACCCGTTAACCCGTTAAAACTAACACTAACACTTTTTACCCCAATAACCCCGTTAACCCGTTAACCCG